ATAATATTATATTATATTACAATATTATAATTATATTATAATATTATATATATTAATAATATAATTTATAATATAATATTATTATTATTTGATTATACATTTGGTTTCAAACACTGATTTTTAAAATAGTAATTTTTACTTTTTTTTTTAATCTTTGTAACCATCCAATATTATAAATTTAATATTGTTCTATTAAAATATAATAAAAACAATTACAATTTTTTTTTTCAATTTTTTTAAACTAATATACACACTAATATAATGTATTACAAAATATATAATATAATAATAATTGTTTTGTATATTTTTTTTTTTTTTTAATGACAAATCAAAGATAAATGAAAACAATGTGAGAAAGGAAAAAAATAAAAAAAAATAAAAAATATCAATGGAAAATTGAGAGAACTGTGTTGACCATTACGGAAATCCATTGTATTTTTACACAATTTAATCTCGTTGTTGCGTAAAACCTATTTGCATCGTCCTCTTTTGTTTTCAGAAGACAAACTCAAAGCTAGAACCGTGTTACGTTGAATTTCAAGTAAAAAATAAAAAAAAAAAACCCTCTTCCTTTTACCACCATATATTGAAATAAATGTTATCATTTTGTTGTTGTTGAAATTAATTTAATATTACTCATTACCATTAATCGTTGCAATTATTCTAATTTCTAATCAGTTTTACGAGTTACGATCGATTACGCATAATTTTCAGATTTATGAAGTACAAGTTGTAATTAGGATAAAAACGAATTCTATGTATTGCACGAGTTGCAAAACTCGTATGATTTAAATTCTAATTTGTAATCGAGTAAGCCTTAAACTTGTTGATTCATCACATAACGTTAATATCCTACAAGAAACTAATAGTTTAATTAGGTCAAGTTATGCAGGAAGCTTTAAACGACTCACAAGGATACGAAATTGTGTACATTTAGTTTGAATAATTTGAATGTTAATGTTAAAAATAAAAAAATAAAAAAAAAAAAACAAAATACAAAATTACAAAAACTTTGATATTCGTAAATTATATTTTAATAATAATATTAAATATATATTATCTAACAGTTATTTGTAATATTTATTTATAATTGGTTTTTTATTTTGTTGTTATTTTTACGAACGATTAGATGATAGAAATGGTTTCAAATAAAATATATATGGTGGAAATTTTTGAGATTTGAGATAAACTGTTATGGCTTCCTTGTTGTTACTGGTTTAAAAGTTGACGGAGAGTTCAACAGAGTACAAGATAAAATTGTTAGAATCGTTAGAACGGTAATAGGTAAAAACTTTCTCAGTGAAATCTTAAAAGAATGTTTTAGCCATTCGTTAACTCAACTCTCACTTGATGCGTTCCGTGGTATGTATTTTGATACGTTAACAAAGAACAATTTATTTAACAATTAATCAATTAATTCTCACATATAAATATATATATATATATATATATATATATATATATTTATATTTAATAAATAAAATAATAAATGAATTTAATTCATGCAAAATTTTAACAATATTGCTTTTCTTATATCGTTTATTAAAATATATTATATTAATGTTTATCTAATATATTTATAATTTAATTAATAAATTTTATATTCGAATAAATAATTTATAGTATATAAAAATATATATTATATAGTATTATATATAGTATTTATATTATATATATAATATAGTATAGTATAGTATATATAATACAAATTATAATATATAATATAATTTATTAATAATATAATTTAATAAATATTAAATAGTATTATATAGTATTTATATTATACAGTATAGTGTAATTATAATAATATAATTTAAATAATTTAGTTTTATATTTAATCAACTGTAAAAAATACTCGCCATACGTACAAATTAACTTTCTCTATCTCACTTCACTTCTATACGCTTTCCACTTATGGTAACTGGTAATACAGTACCCAGACATATATATATATAGATTCTTTAAATAATAAAATAAACAAAAAACTCGTCAGACAGTGTGTTTAAATAGAAAAACAACATTCTTATATTCTTCTTATAGAAACACGTAATAGATATTTAGGTTTTGATTATTCTTTTTCTTTCTTGAGACAATTATACATAGGTGTTCGTCGTGTGCGTTGAAAAGTCATCGACTTTCACTGCTTGTCATTTTCTCTTTTACATTTTGTTCTATATACTTGTTTTTTTTTCACTCTTAGACCAAAAATATATCATTCAGATCATTTATGATATTCTATAGAAAATAAAATGATAATATTTGATAATATATATATCCCTTATTTGTATTAATTCAAATTGCAATATATTTTATCACACACGTAATGAAACAAACAAAAATGTAATTATACATATCGTTAAAGTGTATTTTATATCGAATTTAAAATTCCTCGATGATATACGATAGAAGAAGATGCAACTTGAATAATGTATTAATTTTTTATTAGCATGGTAATTTTTTGTTTGTTCTTCTAGGAAAGAAACTTTTCTAAGTAAAAGCAAACGTTGAACAAATTCTGCTATTTTTTTTCTTCTTTTTCTTCTTTTTTTATTTTATTTTTTTTTATTTAAAAACATCTATATAAAAAAAAAAAAGAGAGAAAAATTAGACAAATGTTTTTATTATTTTTCTTTCATATTTCTTTTTAAAATTACTTATTAAACATTTAATAATAAAAAATACAAATAAATTATTGTTAAATCGTATATGTTCTTGTGAAAAAATATCATTTATGCAACACGCGCATTTCGATACGTCAATTGAATATGAAAATGTGCTACGATGAAGATTACCAAAATGTATTTACTTATCGAACATTATTTTTTATTAACTTTGCTTTACATTTTGTTTAATATCAAATTTTATAAAAATAATATCAACATTTTATTTAATATTTAATTTTAAAGAAATTTTTCTTTACTTTATAATACAAAATATTATTACAAATTATATATAATATTATATAATATATATAATATAAATTATATATATATAATTATTATTTTATATATTAATTTAAAACCCCCCAAAAAAATTATTAAAAACTTAACATTTTATTTTGAATTATTTATAATAACTTGAATAATAATAATAATAATAATAAGTAAAGTAAAGTACCAGAGTAAAGTAAATTTGATGAATATTAAATAACAAGTATAATAATAATTATTAAAAAATAATATTTTTCTTATTTGTTATCGTCAAAATTTGGCAATCTAAAGAATAATATCGAAACAATAAAATATTGATGATACCTTGACATACTTGAATTATATGAGACGCATGATGTATACAAATGGATATCTTTATTTTACTTTCGGCAGGTAAACCAAAATAAATTTTTCATAAAATCGTTGATGGTAATGGACGTGTGTTGAAAAAAAAAAAAAAAGAAAAGAAACAAAGTCAAATTTCCAAATAAATCATCGTACTTTGAATTATCGCTAATATCTGATTGTCCTTTTTTTATCTTGAAACTATTTAATATTCATTCATGACATTTGTGTGTTGTGCTTTTTTTTTTGTTACGACATTTACGTTAAAGGATTTTTTTTTTTTCTTCATCTGATTCATTCCAATCATTATTATGTTTGAAAACATTTTAAATCGATGATTCACAATTTACGATTAAATTAAATATCACACGCATACATACTAACATAATGTGGTAAATTAGTTATATATATGAAATTTATTAAGAAATTTTCCATTCATCTGGAATATTTTGTTTATTGTAATTTTTTATTTAATATCGTTATATTAATTAATACATGGCAGTATAATTACTAAAAAAAAAAAAATATATATATATATATATTCTGTAATTCAACGTGATTTTCTTATTAAAAAATTATACATATTTATTATTCAACAAGTCAACTATTACAGTTTAATGAAAATACAAAGAGAAGACTTGTAGTTTTTGTACAATTTACATTTCATTTTGTATATATAAAAATAATATGATTTTCCGACTATATTAATCGAGACGTCAATGAAAAATTAAAAAATTTCTATTACATAAAAGAAATACTTATTGTAAATGAATGTTATGATTCGATACATCATTAGGAGATCTATCAGCTTCTAAATAACTTTCAATAGTCTCTTCTTCATCATTTCCTTCTTGTACATGTTCAATTTTAGATGTAAAATGTATAATACTATATAAAAATGAAAAAAGAAAAAGTTAGTAATATAATGATTATTTTAAATGAAAGAGAAACGCGATTATAAATGTTACTTACGAGATCAATAAAAGGACCATAATTTGAGTAGTAAATGTTAACCAATAAATGGAACTAGGAACTGTGTTAATTGTTAAATTATAAAGTTGAGAATATAAAATACCACTGAAGAGAGGTACAGCATTATCGCAAACAGATAACATAGCGAATACTTTACCTAAATCATATGTTTCCGATTACTAATATTTGATTGCATATTAATAAAATATATATTACAATTATAAATACCTCTTTCTTCTATAGGAACAAGCTTAGAAGTCATTGATCTTAATACTGGTGCAACGATAGGTCCTAAAGCTGCCACAGCCGCTCCTTAAAAAGAAAAAAAGTCAATCTAATAAATTGTTCAAATATAAAAACATTATAAATATCACATACCAACATAAAACAATTGTGGTATAGTGGCTAAAGCAAAAATAACTCTGCCACTTGCATGTGCTATAGCACCAACTGCAACGATTAAAGTATCCCTCATTCCAATTAATTTACTCATCGTAGGAACACCAATAAGCATAGCTAGAAATAAATGATATGTTTTTCATTAAGATTCTTTGAAAAACCAAAGAATTAATAAATATTAATTATTATTAGAATTTGTCTGACTAACCTATTACAAAAAGTGTAGATAAAAATGTTTTAAATTTACTAAAGTCTGTAACATCCCATTTAAACTTTAGTTGTGTATAAAGATAGCTCATAGGTTTTTCATCTCTTTGGAAAGTGTAAAAAGTCATTGCTAATAATAAAATCCAAAGATAAGCTCTTCCATGATTTTCTCTTCTTCTCGTTAACGTTTTAATTGTTTCTTCTACATGCTTTTTGTCAAAGAAATCTGTGAAAGGATTATTGTTCGATATTTCTTGCCTTTGTTGGGTTTGCCATTCAAGATTTAGAAAAGAATAGATAATAGCAATCACGAGTAGAGTAGCATTTATTGTAAACATTATTCCATGAGATGAATTTACGACATTTGTGAATAGATAAGAACCCAAAGCTACACCTAAAAAAAAGTAGATTAAAATAATATAACAAAAATATTGTTTTCTACGAGGAAACAAAATCAAATCAAATAAAACAATTTTTAATTTAATCTTACCGGTAGGCATAGTACTAAGATAAATAATATCGAGTATAGTGATCCTTAGAGTCCTTTTTGTAACTGTTGTTATATCCGATATGTATGAAAAACAACTGGCAAATATAACAACGTCTCCTCCAAGCATTGCCGATGGTAAACTTGCGGTATATATCACCATGTTTAAATTCCAAGAACTAATAAACGAATTAACGATCACCATAAAAGAATATAGAAATTTACCGATCAATCCTATAATCAATGGTAATTTTCTACCGTGTCTGTCACTCCAATTTCCAAAAAACAATGCTAAAATGATCGGTACTACGTGACCAGCAATATTGTTCCATTGATGAAATTCCGATACAGTTATCTAAAAGAAAAAAAATGATATAATTTAATTAATTAATAATATATTTGTATTTTTTCTTTTCTTTTTTTTTGGAAATAATAACTCACTTGAACTTCAGTTTTTAAAGTTTTGTTAGACTTTAAATCTGCACATATCTCTGCTGATAAATTGTGATCTACTCTGCAAGCTTTGTATATAAAAAAATCTTGTTCCACTACCGAAGTTATCATAAAAGCCATCATATAAAGCCACATTGTTGGTTCCACCGATATTAATCTTATCCATTGGAAATATTTAGTGAAAAATTTGCAACTTGTCTTACAATTCGTCGACACCATCTGTAAAATTTTGATTTCAATTTAAAGAACCTGAGAAAATTTGTTTGTTTGTTTTATTTCCTTTGAATTTGTATTCATCTATGAAACTTGCACAATATATTGATTTCATAATAATTTTATCTCTACTTCATTTTTATCTCTAATAAATTCTACAAAAGATAATATTTTGATTACAAAATATATATATACAACATTGAAATTAATAATTTAATTCTAAACACAAAATATGTGGAGATTATTATTATTATTATTATAAATATATATATTAATTATTTTGATTAAAAAATAAAAAATAAAAAGGAAAAATATAAATTCTTACTTTGAATTCTATGTCTTCCATGTTCATTCTTCCATTTATTTATGCACCTAAAGCAAAATATTGTATCAAAGATTCACATACAGACGTACATATCCAATTCTGCAAATATAGCTGTTTTAAAAAAATAGTTTAACAGTTCTCCAATTACATATTCTTACATTCACATTCTTCTCGTCCATTTAAATGAAAATTATCAAGTTGACTTGTTAATATGATACATGTGTTACTTATTATCTTTCTTCAATGTCTTATTATGTGTGACCGATTTATAACTAATTTTATAATTACTTTTTGTTCTTAAATCAACAACTCTTATCACGACTGTTAAGTATATGGCAATCGATAAATAAAAAAAATAGCATTGAATAACAATATTTTTTCATAATCTTTAACTAGATAAATCTCTCTTTTTGTATGTATATATATATGTAGTATCATAAAAATCATTTAATTAATTAATAAATATAATCACAATGCTCGTAATTATTATTACACATTATTGAAAAATTTATTTATTTAAGAAGTGTTTCAGATTTATCCCAGATAATCTTTTTCTTTCTTCTCACTGACATTTTAAGTATCATTATTGCTATCATTTTTTATTATTTATTCTGTTCGTCTTAGCAGACTTTTTAAAAGTTGCTAGTATAATAGACTTTCTTTTGTTATTTGTCTTTACCATTTTTTTTTTTTTTTCATAAGATTCACATGTTATTATTTATAATTTTCTAAGAATGGAATAAATTTGTTGGAATGTGTATTTAACGAATTAACCTCTTTTTTATGTACATTTCTGTTATCTATTTAATTCATTCCATTTATAAATTAACATCATTGTAAGATGTAGTAAAACAAGTTAAGATGAAAAACGTCAAACACAATATAACATTATGTGTATATGAATGAATCAACAACAAGATAAAATAATCTATTTGCGCAATTAAATCACATATGATAACAAAAATAAGTTTTCTCACAAAATTCTTTTTCTACCATTTAAAAAACTATTCGATAATAATGTTAAATTGCTGCTTAAAATTGAGGTTATGATTATCAGCTGAGTGCTGCCATCCTCGACTGATAAAAACTTTTTCAAAATAAGAAGCACGAGGATTGCTAGCAAAGTTTTTGGCGGGAAAAACGTTATCAAATGTTTAATAATTATTATAAATAAATGATATGTAATATATATAAATAAAATTAATGTATGACAAATTTTAGCATATTTCTCAATCATTATAATCTGTAAATAGAATTATTTTGTTAATGGTTTGTTAAAAATATATCATTTACATAGAAACTAAAGTTCATAGTTTTTAAATAAAACTTAAGTTAATTCACTTCAAGTTCAATGAATTATCACGTGATTTACGTTACTCTTAAAAAACAAATACTGTACCCTAATAATCACACAAATAAATCACTCTTAATCATTTATAACCTCTTCAGATAGAACTAATTCACAGTGTGTATGTACAAATATATATATATATATAAGTATATATATGTGTAAATATATGCATATATACATACCTAGTAATATGTAGTTCATTTATTATTCAATTAAATTGATTAAAATCTCAAATCAATATATTCTCTGATCAATTTATTTACAAAAGAAAATGTTCCATCTTATTGCATCACATCGACGATAATTATCTTTATTTATTTTTTTATGATCTATCATTAATACCCATATATAACGAAATTTCACTAAATGTATGATTTATATTTTCTATATATTACAATAAAAATCTACTAAACCGATCAATTTCACAGTTTTTATTAACAAATTATTTTAAAGGAAAAGAAAATTGTCAAACACATGCTTCCATAAAGATTACTGATTGCTTTTCAAATCTCTCGTTAGAAAGTTAAAAAATGTAGTAAGGTAAGTGGCGACACCTGTTAATAGATATCCATCAATTGAAATACTTTTTTCAAATAAGATTAAATAAAATAAAAATTATTTATAGTTATTTAAAGTATATATTTGATAAAAAAAAATTGATATTTAAAATATTTATGAATATATGCATTAACAAAATTTAAAGTAATAAATTTAGATTTTGTATAAATCATGAATTTTTGTTCAAGTTCTCATTTGACGGTAAAGTAGTTCATCGCATAGCCGCGAAAAATTTAAAAATTAAAAAAAAGAAAAAACCAAAATTCTTATGAGTTATTATTTTAATAATTTCAATCTTACATAACATACTGGTTTTTGCATCCCAATATGAAAAATTTAATTGACCGAGAAATCAACTACCAAATCGTATCATTCTGATTGATTGATTGGTTTTAAAAGTTGACACACAAGATCAATTATTAATGCACATTAGGGATCCTATAGGAGGGATGCGCCATGTACATTGCTGGGGGACCGGAACTCGATTTTGCGCGCGAATGATTCAAACATTGAAATAATTATGAAATAATGAATTGCATCAAATACAGAAAAAAAAATGAACTATATTTAATGATAATTAAAAATTTATATTAAAATAGAATAGGTTACACGAAAAAATTATTATAAATTCAAGCGGTCCCCCAAAATTTTCAGCCAATGGCACATGAGCTGAATATGAATGGCGCATCCCTCCTACAGGATCCCTAATGCACATTAATTATATTATATCTGTTTTATATATAATTTCATTAAAAAGGAAAAAAGAATGCTATAGTATATATATGTACTATACTGTAGTAAATGATCTATATATATAGGTAGTTGTGTGATTCAATATATATACATATATATATATGTGAGATAATATATTACTACGCCGAAAGCAGTACTATTCGTTTACAAGTTGTGAAATGTGCATTTGCAGAGGAAGATAATCCAAGTGACAAATAGAATAATAACGCTATTCTAAACTACGTGAGTTTTTCATTTGAACTGTATCAAAACGATAACCGGAGCTTTCTACCTTATAATACAAATAATTTCAGCAATACAAGCAATTCAGATTACTTAAGTGGTTCATATACCATCCCACACTCGTCTTGTATAATAGACTCTTAATAGGTAGTTTCTCGCAATTCAAGGTTTGATATCTATATACATATGATTATATAATACGATAAACCTATTAAATCACTTTTACATTTTTTTTTTTTTTTTACAGATAAAATGTTTCTCACGATTTTGACAAGTTTTGTTTTATTATTATTTATATTACACTGTTATATAAAATATAGAAGGGAAGGAAGACTTCTTAATAAAATTCCAGGACCAAAAGCATATCCCATAATTGGAAATATACATCATATGCGAGTTCCCAATGGTAAATTATTTATAATTAATTTTTATTCGTAAATTTTATTTATTTTTATTCGTTTAATTTTTATTAATAATTTATACCAGTTCTAATGTAAAATCTTTTTTTTTCTTTATTCTTACTTTTTAGATGAAATATTAAAGCAATATTGGAAAATTGGTGATGAATTTTATCCTATATATAAAATATGGTCCTTTTTGTTCTCATCTGTAATTTTACTTCATCCGGAAGATATTAAGGTTGGTAAGGATTATTAAATTAAAAGTTCACAGTTCAATCTTTTAAATGAAAAAAAGATAAATATTTTGTTACGATTGTAGATATTCATGACAAATAAAGAACTTACAACAAAATATATGCCATACAAACATATGCAGAGTTGGCTATCTACTGGATTGCTTACAACTAATGGAGGTAACAAATTTGATTGAAAAATTATATAAATATTCGAATAATAATGAATTTTTTTTACTAAACAGATAAAAAATGGCAAAAACGACGAAAAATGTTATCGCCTGCCTTTCATGTAAATATCATGAAACATTTTCTCGTTTCATTTAACGAGGAAGCTGAATTTCTCGTAAGATCATTAAAAGAACAAGCACAAAACAAAGATGGTTTTGTCGTTAAAGATTTGTTAGAACTTATTACGAAACATTCTTTAAATATAATATGTGGTAAAGTGAAATTACATTATTACAAATTTGTATATCTTTAAAAACAATAAAAAAAAAAAAATTAATTAACACAAATTTTATTGATAGAAACGATATTGGGTATTTCATTAAATGAAAAGGATCAACTTGAATTTGAATATCGTAATGCTGTTCATGCTTATGGAAAAATTACAGCATATAGGTAATATTAATAATTAAAATTTAACTCATATTACAATCAAAAGAATTTATTTAAATGAAACAATTATCTTTTTATCAGATTTTCTAGACCTTGGTACCATTGGGATATTTTATTCGCTTTATCAAAAACAGGTCGATTGGAAAAGAAATTGTTGAAAACGTTGCATGGTTTTTCCAAAACTGTATGTCATTGACTTCTCTTTTTTCTTTTGCCAAAAATCTATAGATTTGAAGGAACAAAAAAAAAATGATTATTACATTTATTTTAGATAATTGCAGAAAGAAAACGTTTTCACGAACAAACGAATTGGATACATTTACAAAAGTTCAAATTAAATCAAACTAATGAAGAAAATGAAGAAAATGAAGAAATTCTTGAAGAATTAAAGGATGATAATAATAAAAGTATTATTCAATTTTTATTATATAAATTAATATCGATGTTAAAAAAAATTCAATAACAAATTGAATTACAGGAACAAGATCTAAAGGAAAACTTTGTTTGTTAGATCTACTTTTAGCTTCTTATTTAGACGATAAACAAATTGATTATGATGGAATTCGCGAAGAAGTTGATACTTTTACATTCGCGGTAAATTTAAATAGAATTATCATTTCACATTTATAATGATAATGAATAAATGATACAAATATTTGTACAGGGTCACGATACTACAGCCATGGCATTGTGCTTTGCATTGAGTCTTTTTGCAAAACACAGAAATGTTCAGGTAAAACATATGTTTAATTCAAAAAAAAAAAAAATATAGATCAAACGAGAGATGTATTTTAAATATATATATATATATCAATTTATTTATTAATCATGTGAATTGATTTAATTATAGGAAAATATAAGACATGAAGTGAATACGATTATGCAACAAGATGATTGTAAATTGACGACTACGATACTTAAAGATTTTTCATATTTGGACAGATGTATAAAAGAATCACTTCGTTTATATTCAAGTGTACATACTATAGCACGTTATTTAGATCAGGATTTACAACTGAGTATGTAATATTACTTCATATGTGTGTGTGTGTGTTACACTTTTTTTTTTAAATATCAAATAACACGAATAACATTGTTAATTATTTTGATAGGTAATTACGTAATTCCAGCTGGAACAAATTGTTTAGTGAGTATATGTAACATACACAAAAACCCAATATATTGGCCAAATCCGGATATTTTTGATCCAGACAGATTTTTACCAGAAAATGTGAAAGAACGTCATCCATACTCGTACATTCCGTTTAGTGCAGGAATGAGAAACTGTATTGGTAAATGTTACATACAAAAAAAAGAAAAAAAACTATCGAATTTATCGTTATTAATCGTTTTGTTATTTAATAGGTCAAAAATTTGCAATGCATGAAATGAAAGTATTAATAGCATATATTATACATAATTTTCATTTGGAACCGGTTGACGAACTCGATGATGTTAAGATAAGTGGAGAATTAACTTTGTCTCCATCTGGACCACTTCATATTAGGTTTATTCCTATATAAGGGATACCTTAAAAAAGAATAAAACACAGTATGATAAATATAATTAATTAATTTGTATATTTTATTTTATTATTTGGATCAATAAAATAATGGTAATTAAAAGTTTTCGAGAGTGTTTTAATGCAAATTCCAAATATTTAGAAAACAACAACAAAAGTAATATAAAATATTATAATAATATTATACAATTTTATTACAACAATAACAATATAATATCATAATATAATTATATTATTATATAAATAATATTAGGTCGAGTCATAAGTAAGTTCCGATGCGGTTATGTAGAATATATTTTTCGTATTTACCTACTATAAGTCACCGAAAAAAACGGATTTTCGATATCACTATATAGATGAGGATTCAGTTAGTCTTCTATCAACTTTTTTATGTAGTCAATGTTACATTTAACCGTTTTTCTTAACCACTGAAATGGATAGTAAAAAGTGCATATTCGACATGTAATGCTTTCGGAATTGAAACAAGGCAATATAGCAATAGCACTAAGGTGGCAACTGAAAAATTATGCAGCGTATACAGTGCAGAACTGATAACTGATAGGGTAGTCAGAAACTGGTTTGTAAAATTCCGCTCTGGAAATACGATCTTATAACATGAACCGAGTGTGGGACGTATTTCTGACTTTAATGAACCTTTTAAAAGTAATATTGGAGCAAAATCCAATAGATAAGTTCAACAATTGCAAAGAGTGCAAAAAAAACTTCATGAAAGATTTCTTGCACTTATCAGTCGCAGAAACACCATCCTTTGTTTCATAAAAAATGGAAGTAATTTATGACTCGACCTAATAATATTATATTAATTAAGAAAATAAAAGAAACTAATTATTATTATAATATTAATGATAAGCGGTCTTTAACTACTTTTTACTTTCAATGGAATGTTTAACACATACAAAAAATATATATTAAAAATTATACCGAAAGTAGAATACCGTTGACCAGGTCTAACCACGAGGAAGTAACCGCTTCTGAAGACCCAAGAGGGATGTGCATCCTAAAAATGCAAACAATCCGAATATAATACAAAGGAAAGAATCTAGCTCTAAGGTCCCACCTTGAGAGTACCATTCAAAAAATCCCAACCAGAGAAAAAGATCCTATCAGAGAACAAGTTTGAATACCCAAAAATATAAAATGACAAACGAAGAATTCTACCCTGAATGGAATTCCAATACCATCGATGATTCCATGGAAAACTAACACACCTTAGAAGAATTTCAATATATGCACATATGTAAATTACAAGTTTTAAATATTTTATACTTAATAATTTTTAATTTATCTAAAATAAAATATAATAAAAATAAATATATATAATAATAGACAGTACCTGTAGAAAAAAAAAAGATATTAAATGATACCTGTAGAAAATAAGAAGACATTAGATGCTACCTGAAAAACCAATTGTAATACTTCAGTTATTTTATATTATTGTATTCTACTTTATTTTATTCTATTTCATTTATTTTAGTGCACTGTATGGGGTTACCCTGCTGCTCATT